CACAACATTACTCTACATGCATACATATTCGCAAATATATCACTATGCATATTCATCTCATACAGGCACATACAATCTATGTACATTCACAATATACTTATACTTCAATATATATATATATACTCTTCATTTCAACACATACAATTCCATATAAAGCATATACTTTCACAATCAAAATTCCACATTCTAGGATTCACGCCTTGCGGCTACCCACAGCATAACGTACCACACGGCACACAAAACTATTCAATTCGATAAGGATTAAACATAACCGAACAAAGAAATCCGCATGGAAAGGAAAAAAACACAGAAAACAGGAAAATGCTGTCACATTCGCCAACCTTCGCCTGGCGAAGCCTCTGGCGAACTTTCGCTACTTGGTTCGCCTGGAGAACTTGCCAGCGAAGACCACTGGGAGTTATTCTGGAATTACTCGCTAGCACACTCGCCTGGCGAACCTTCGCCACTCTCATTCGCCTGGCGAACTTGCCAACAAAGACAGGGTAGATGCTTCTGACTTGGTTCGTTGCTGCTCGTTGAGCTTCGTCTGGCGAAGCTTCGCTGTCGTTCGCCTGGCGAACCTGCGAACTCAGAACTCCCATGGCTGTCCAAAAGCCCAAACTTCACAAACCGACCGATTCTAAAACCAAACCACCCCAGTAAGTTCAACCCAATAACACCCGACTATCCTACTCCATCCATTTCTCGATTCTAACCGGTTAAAACAACATTCTACCGATTAAATCCTAATATTGCCCTAAGATGAAAATGAGTAGAAACTTTTCTCAATCCAACATCAAACAATCAAAAGTATACATAATCATACACATTAACAGTATAATAGAGTTTCACACCCTTACCCGATCGATTGAAAGCTTGGATGTCGATCCTTGATGAAATTCTAGGTTTTCCTCTTCTTTCTCCTCTTTCTCTTCTCTCTTCTTTCTTTCCCTTGTTTTTCCACTAATGTTTCTATCTATCTCCTTTTCTCTCTTATCTCATATTCTATTTCCTTTCCTCTCCATTTCTTTGCAAACACTTACCAATTACTTCTCACACAATAACTCACTTAACATTTAATACTAAATGTCTAAAATACCCTTTACTCTATTTTCCCCGAAAACTCTCCGAATCGGTAAAATAGCACAATATTGAAATTAAACATATCAACATATAAATTCCACAATTAAAATACCAGTTATCCAAATAAATTAAAAAGGACTCAATAAAAATAATGGGAATTCAGAATTTGGGGCGTTACAAACGACGCAATGAGAAGATTCGGCGGCGCGATGCAAAGACGGACGGCGCGATGAGAAGGCGGTGCAAAAAAGGAACAGCGGCGGCGGAGAGAAGAGATGAACAGTGTATCAAGTGTGTGAGAACAACGGCGCAGAGAAAAGAGAGGAACAGTGTATCGAGTGTGTGAGAACAGCGTTTCTGAAAAATGAAATAATAAATTCTGCGTTTCTGAAAATTTTATATATAAGGATTTTTTACATCGAGCCATGCCCCAACCGATGTAAAATGTCAGTTCAATACATTTTACATCGGGCCATTCAACAGAAATGATGTAAAAACAAATTAATTATTATTTTTTTGTTTTTTAAAACCTTTTACATCGGTTTTAAAGTACCGATCGATGTAAAAACTTGTTTTAATTTTTTAATTTATTTTTTCCATCCGTTAACTTTTTTACATCGGTTGAGAAACTTGGACCGATGTAAAAGACCAATTACTTTATAATTTTATTTTATTATATTTTTTGTTGGACAACATTTTACATCGGTTGGGTTCCAAAAACCGATGTAAAATCAATTATAAAAAATCTCATGTTATTTACAAAACTGTCACCTTGTAATTCTTTTTATTAGTTGATTTTTCACATCGATTCCGTATCCAGGCCCGATGTTAAATCTCTTATAACAAATTTTTTAAATAATTATGAAACTGCCACCTTGTTAAAATTTGATGTAAAATCCTTTTTCAATTACTTTTTACATCATATCTTTGGAAACCTGATGTAAAATCATTTAATCTAATGTCTTATTTTTAGTAGTGCATGGTCCTATTGGGTTCAGTCCCTGTGGGGCTTGGGTCTGCTTGACGGTGGGTTAAGCGTCGGCCTAGTCCAAAACAATAATGAATACAAATCGTTTAACAATTATCAAGTCACAAATCAATCAAATGCAAAGCTATTTGTAATGGTTATTTCCAACAATCAAAACAAAATGTTCTCATTGTCACTAACCATTAATTAATGTTACACAACAAGTAACACCGTATAGTAACATCCTCGAGTATACTATTTAGCTCTTACAACCTCATCATGAGGTAGTAATATGTGTTAGCTTTTCAAAGGAGTCAAGAAACTCAAGTTATGCGCAAAATGACACACTTGGTACAAAATTCATGGAGTTACTACGACCATCAATTGCACCTACTACGGCCTATAGCACCCCCTACCAAAATCCCTTTTTGGCACACCTCTGGTACAAAAAACCAGAGGTCTGCTACGACCACCCGTAACAGATGCTACAACCCGTAAAAGTTGTACATGTCGTAGCTGTTAGAACACAGATTGGTTCTTAATATATCTCAATGTTTTGATGATAACATTAATGAAATTTTGTATAGAGAAAATATATACTCTAATTTTGTTCAAGTGTTTTTGTTTCAGATATCAAATAAATATTCATCTGAAGACAAAAAGAATTCCTCTGAACATTATATAACGCAAAACTCTGAGCGTAGAAAGCGCAACACAGAAGACTATGAGCAAAGCTACAGAAGACTCTGAAGCGCTACCTACAGAAGACTCTGAGCGCAGAGTATAAAGATTCAGCATATTCAGAAGACTCTGTGAGAACTCAACGCTGCAACCTACAGAGGCTCTGAGAATCAAGTCAACTCTGATCATTCATTCACGCTAAGCACTTTGCTGCATAACTCTGGATAGAGTGACTATGATAAAGAAGCACATGGAACATCATCAGAGGATCTGATGCAAGATCATTTTTCATATCTGTTCATTTGAAAAGATATTGTTCAAGAAAGATTCGTTGATAAGCCCAATGTCTACCAACGACACTATTCCTCATTCGTGTATGGCACAAGAATTTAGACAAAAAGGATATGTCTGAACATTCCTCTTCTGTGAAGGAAAAGTCAAAGAAGACAAAAGGCAACAGCTGCACGTTCTTTGAGAAATGGATGTGAAGTCTATTTAAGCAAGTCTTCAACATCATTTCAAGATTGACGGAATACAAAACAATCAAAGAACATATTCAAACAACTTTCTTCAACAAACATACTTATTTTATTTGTTCTTCATTTTGTGTAAAAATCACAGTTGTTATAATAGCTTTTTAGAAGCACTTAAACACATTGTATTTCATCCTTGTAAAAGTTCCTTGAGAGACCAAGTTGTGGTCAGGATTCTTGAGAAGACTAAGACAGTTTGTCTTAGTGATATCACTGCAATCAGGTTTTGATTTAGTGGATTAAGTCCTTGTTTGAGAAAGGCAAAATCACCTTGGCCGGGTGGACTGGATTAGTTTGAGTTCAAACGAACCAGGATAAAATAACTTGTCATTTTCTATTATCATAGTTGTTTTTGAAACCCTTATTCAACCCCCCCCCCCCCCCTCTAAGTGTTTTTCCTACCTTCAGTAGCAGTGCTTAGAAAATCCTAATTTGCTTGTCGTTTTGTGAGATCTCTCTTGTTTTTCAGCCTTGCATCAGCCCCCAAACCCCATGTTTTGACCTCTAACAACTTCAAAACATATCATATCATAAGGTTCGTGAATAGAAGGGAAATAAACACATTACAACATCAAAATCAAAATCATCGCATCAGATCATCATGCTCTTCACTGATACATAACACCAATATATGAACACATAAACAACAACCCAATAAATTTGTACATTGATATTCTTGAGACCCCTTCTTTCGCAACACATGCGCTCACTTCATATGAAGAAGTTGATACATATTCTGTGTATGTTATTCATGTAAAATTAAATATATATATATATATATATATATATATATATATATATATATATATATATATATATATATATATATATTTCACCACAGTTTTTCTTCTAATTATGGGGAAACATCTACTTATAACCTTGTTTAAACGTAACAACCATGATGGAAATGTAGTGATACGCACCATTTAAAAAATATGAGAAAATGGTGTTGTTGGGTAGCGAACATGACCTTTCCACATTTCATTACGGTTGGGTAATCCAACCGTCATGAAAAGTGAAACGCCATCTAGTTTTCTTTACCACGGCCAATAGGCCGTGGTGAAAACTAGCGCACTTTTTATGACACCCTTCTTATCACATGCCGTCAATTATGGTGAAATCTTTATTAGTACTGATATGATTTTGCTCTGAAATAGCATCTCCAACTACAAGCAAGGAGTTGGCATTAACTTTGATCCTAAGAACATACTCAATAATGGGTTTGTTAGCTTTCTTCATCAATTTCAACTCAACTCTAAGTTGGTATAACTCACACCTTTATATGAGCATTAAAGTACCTATGAATTTTGTTTCATACTTTAAAGATATACTTGCATGATAGGAATCTTGGTAACATTGATTCTGAAAGCATACAGAGAAGCCATATGAACATAACTTGATCTTACACTATCCAAGACTCATACTTCTTCGAGCTTATCCTTCTAATCTATCTTAATTCGTTTTGAACATTTATGGAATTTGAGGATTCAACACCTTACACCTCATGCTCATTTATTACACAAGATGTATTCTAACCAACTTAACCAACAAGCTTCATAACCAATATATGTGAAGGCCACAATTTTAAAACAATGTTACATTTCAAAAACTATGACATACTTAGTAAAATTGATTGAAGAGTTCTATAAACACTAGAAATTTTATTTTTAACAAAATGCAAATACAAACAATTTATTAATTGACATAAAATACAAATGACAAAACATGATAACATGTTAAGCATTCTTTAAGAATTCAATAACATACTTGTTGAACCCGCAATATGTAATTTGGAAACCTTGAAATCCTGCTCCTTTAGACAAATCCTCGTACTCTTTCTTTGTTTTCTCTTTTCCACCAGAGGTATAACACAACATGATAACATCCATTTGAACCATAGATTTTGAGGACAAGTTTGAGTTTGGAACTACTGGATCTATGGATTCAACTACTATCACCTTCCCAATTACCGGAAGTGAATCATAACAATTTTTCAAAATTTTCAAACATTGTTCTTCATTCCAAGCATGACAAATCGACTGCATTCCAAACATACTTTTAGTTTTTTTTCTTATCAAGATACCTATATCTTAGAAACATGCTACATAACAAAACAACAAGATTCAAAATAATGACATTATCACCTTCATGAAAATGGCATCAGCTTTTGGAACACTCACAAACATGTCTCCACCAACATGCTCTACCCCTTCATTAGACACCCCACACTTATTAACTATATTACTAACATGAATTAAAAGGATAAAGAGAAAGCTATTTTTGGTGAATTTCCAAAAAAATCAATTTGAAATTATGCAACAGATATATAATTGTATAACCTTCATGTATATTTTAAAATAAATATGCACCTGGATAAGACGGGGCTTCATTGATGACATGTGGTAAGTCAAAATTAATGACTTTGATGTTGGGATACTTAGAGACAATCATATTAGCAACAGTTCCAATCCCACCACCAACATCAACAATAGATCCAAGACCCTCAAAACCTGAATATGTCGCTAATATTTTTTTCATTCTGATGCAAGAGATATCAGACATGGCATTATTGTAAAGCTTGTTGAACCTTGGATTTATGCCCTGAAACTCAAAAGTATTCATTCCAAAAGCGTTGTTAAATGGAAGTCCACCCTCTTTAATTGAATCTGTTAAGTGGTACCTACATAAAAATATTTATATTAAAAAGATACATTACATGAGATATATGTTTTAAGTCACTTTTAAAAAATAGTTTTATAGTTATTAAAAATTAAGTACTTCAAGATGATTTTTTAATATATGATATCTTTGTCTCAAATTATAATTTTTCTAAAAATAATATTCTAAATTGTTAGTTACATTCCAATAGTCTTGACTTTGGTCCAATGGTATATTAGAAGAATAGATGTTATTATCAACATGGTGAATGGAATGTAGAACATTTAAAATATCTATTTCATCAAAATTTGGTAATTAAAATTTTAACTATTCTCCCTCCCAATGATAATAGTGAAAGAGATATTTGTTGTTGTCCAAGAGATAAAAAAGGTGAGTATACTATTTAATCAAGTTATAAATTAGTGTGTAATTTTAGTAGGCAAAATGACGAGGATAGTTGGAGGTTGATATGGAAGCTTAAAGTCCTTGAATGAATAAGTTCACTTATTTGATTGGTGTATTATGGTAGGATAATGACAATGAGAGGAAAAATAAAATGATACTGGGAAGGCTTTTTTTATAGTCACTGTGGATGAGAGTTGGAATCTATTATACATGTATTACGTGATTGTCCTTTGAATTTTTTATTTGGATTAATGTGGTTATGTGGGATATGAGAAACTCTTTTTTCACTAGTAATATTAAAGAGTGAGTAGATACTAATTTGTGTTTCAATTTTGGTATTAATGGTGATCCTTCGTAGTCGGAACTCTGGGCAACGTTGCCAAGCACTTTTGATATGAAGGAATAAGGAACAACATAATGAGAATTTTTTGAGATCTAGAATTTTGTGGCAGCATGTTACTAAAGTTCCTCGTGAGTATTTTTTGGCAAAGGATTTGCATGGTTGTAATATTGTATTAGCTCGAGAGACTAAGCAAATAAGGTGGAATCATCATCCTTCGAGTTAGGTGAGATTAAACACGGATGAAGCTATTAAGAAGGACTTAAAATTGGATGTTGTAGTCTTGTAAGAGGTTGTACGGTTGAATTGTTTGGAGGCTTCGAGAGATATTTAGGTTTTTGTCGTGCATATATTGATGAACTTTGGGGTATTCTAGAAGGATTAAATTGAGAAAATATATTGGGTTTAGAACTATTGAGCTTCATATATATTCCAAAGTATAGTTGTTTAAAATGTTTTGGATTCTGGACAGCGTAGTTTAATTGGAATGCAATTGGTACAACAAATTTAAAAGTTGTTTAAACTAAATTTAGAGGTGTGTGTTTGTCATATTTATTGTGAGTTGAATACTTGTGCAAATACACTTTCCAACATTAGGTGTGATATAGGTCTTAATTTAATGGTTTTTGAGTGATTTCCTACTCAAATTTCTCATATATTATTAGTTGAATGTATTGGAGTCTCTACTCCTATGTTAATTGATGTGTAATTTTTTTCTTTGAGCTTCATACCTCTTTTCTTCCAAATAAGAAAATAGATTTTATTATTATGTTAATATTTTATATTAGAATTTGATTTATTTTTAAAAAAACAATTTGTAAAAGGAAAGATGTGACTCAATTTATAACATTAATTTTAGGACTTAACTCTATTCAAAATGAAACATATTTTTTACAATAAACACTTGGATTAACACATTAGAGACTAATTTGTTCTCAAACGATTCATGTTAAGAAAATCAAAAATAAAATTTGTAATTTAATACTATAATATTTTAACTTTTAAAAAGTTGGATTTATAACATTTTAGATGAATAGTTCTATGTTGATTCCTTATCTCGTGTCTTTAGATTTCATTACGACAAATGCTATGTAAAATCACAGGCATCATCAAACTTAGTGATTTTTGAAGGATTCCTTAATGACAAGGGATTGTATTGTTTTAACAATCTAACTTTAGAGTTTTTCGAAAAAGTTCATTAGTAATAAGCCCCGTTATCATTTCACTTTGTTGCAACATTTTGAGATCCCTAAAATTTAGGGGACCAAGACGGTAATGGCATAACCACTCATCTCTACTTGTTGCAGTAGCTAAACAACGATGCTCCATAACCTTTAACTCAACCTTAAAGATTCTATTGGCAGCCATCAGCGCTTATAAAATCAACACACCACTTAATCTAAAACGTGTAACATCTTGTTCTCCAACCAAATTAAGTACCCTCTTTCAAGTAATTGGTCAATGCTCAAAAGATTGCACTTAATTCCCGGTATGTACTAGACATCTTTGATCCTTGAATGTCCACCATTCTTCTTTCCGATCAAAACATCTCCTACCCCTTCGGCGCTTAAAGTGGTGTCGTCGGCAAACTTGACTTTACTCTTTGCCGCTTGATTGATTTCCACAAACCAATCCTTCTGACCCGTCATATGTGTTGAACAACTGGAATCCGAGTACCATTCATCTTTACTTTGAACTCCATCACGCACGGTAACTAATGCATTTCGATCCGAATGCATTTTCTCACCACTTTCCGAAATAGTATAGCTGCTGTCGCGCAAAATATCACCACAGTAGCTGCCGTTCTGAACATCAACAGTGCCATAATTTTCCTCTGTGATCATCACTAGAAAGGTGTCTTCATCATCTCCCTCTTCTCTAGCAACTTTGACTTCATCATTTCGAGTTTTATTCAATCTAACACGACACATAGATTGAAAGTGTCCAAGCCTTTTACACTTGAAACATTGCACTTTACTTAAATCCCTTTTGATACCATTGCTATGATCACTCTCCTTGGAGATGCTCTCACCCTTTTCACCCGTCGAATTCTTCGAATTTTGAAACTCGTTTGCACCAAACTTCTGAAAATTTGGCTTACCTCTAGCTGCAAATTTTCCTTTTGACCTCTTATTCTTCTCATTAAAACGCGCTTGCAAAGTGATCTCCGCTTTGACTTTGTCGGCACCTCTCGCATCCATCCTTTGTTCATGCGCCTCTAACGAACTTTACAACTCATCCTTGCTCAAAGTATTTAGATCCTTTGACTCTTCAATAGCCACAACTATATTATCGAACCGTGATGTTAACGAATGCAACACTTTCGATACAACATTCTGCTCAAGAATCGTTTCGCCACATGACTTGATTTGATTAACTAACCAGGTAATGCGCGTAATGTAATCATTGATCGTTTCTTTTTCCTCCATTTGCGTTAACTCGAATTGACGTTTGTAAGTTTGTAACTTTACCACCTTCGCTTTGACGGCATTGGCATATGCTTTCTACAAGATTTCCAATGCTTGCTTCGCGGATTCACAATCGGCAACCTTCTCGAAATTGTCATTATCAACACAAGAGTGAATCAAGAATAGGGCTTTGTAATCCTTCTTCTTTTCTTCCTTGTGTGTAGCCCTAATAGCTTCGGTAGCATCTGTCCCTAACGGTGTAACTCCATTGATGACGATCTCAAGAACCTCTTGATAACCAAACAGAACCTTCATTTGTTTCGCCAATTTGTCGTAGTTCTTCGAATCAAGAATTGGGAGATTTGTGGGAATTCGATCATTAGAAACGATAGTCATTGTTGCAGCGGATTAAGATCAACAACCGGAGCTCTTGATGTCAAATGTTAGAACAACATACAAAAAAAGAGATTGAAGGTAGTAACAATGGTGGAAAAGAAATTGGGGAAGAAGATGAAATTTAGAGAGAAAAGAGAATTATGATAGAGAGTATTATTGGATAAATTAAAATTGGCATTAATTGAAATTGGAAATTACAAAATGTATTTATACACTTGAGAGAATAATCCAAAAAAAAAAAAACTAAAGTGGTCATGCTGTTATATTTCCAAAAATACCAAAATTTAACAGTTATGAACACTATCATAATGTCACAAATAGTCTCACAAATGATACACGGCCGAGTCTAATAAATGGACTTAATAAATAACATTTCTTACTTTTTATCAGTAGCATTACAAACTCGTTTTTTTAATAACAAACACTATAGGACAAACTAATATTATATTCTCTTATTTGTTATTGTTATATATATTTATTTTTCTTGTAAATTATAAATTGTCTTTAAAATATATTCAACATGTAATAAAAATTACATTTCCTTAAACTTTTTGATTACTCCGTATTATTATAATTGATAATCAATTCACATATAATTGAATTTTTGTTTGGCTTTACGATCCCTTTCAAATCAAGAAAAACCCCAACTCTTTTTCAGTATCACTTTTAAATTAGTCTAGGAGATTTTATCAAAGAATTTGATTACTTTGACTACATTTATCCGACACAATATTTGATAGTGTTGAAAAAAAGAAAAAATTGTTAATATTTTTAAAATATAAAAACGCGTTAAAATCAATTATAAATTTTAAATTTTGAAGAATTTTCAATTTTTGATATACAATAATATAGTTTTCATAGTTTGTGTTTTTTGATATATAATGTTTAAATTTTTTGTTTATATATTTATATATATTTTATAAGTACTTATAAAATATTTAGTCTTTACCCCACTTATCAAAATTTTTGGATCCGTATCTTTAATCATAATAGAGTATAAGGGTTTTGAAGAAGAAAAAAAATTAAGAGAGAATTTAATTAAATTACAAGAGCATGAAAAAAAAAACAGATTTGGTTGTAATAATTTATTTATGAAAGTAGTACATACCACACGTCTTGGAGGGCCTTGTCGTGTTGCATGAGAAAGAAGGAAATCATGGATGCACCATCTTCGTCTTCATTATTATTTTTGACAAAGTATTTAGCTAAAGGGTGAAGACCATACAATCTTTCTTCGTTACAATCTCCATCAACTTGTTTAACGGAGCATGTAAGAATCTTGCAGCTAGCCAAAAGACGCAACAATCTGTCCAACATAGAAGGTGCTTCTGGATTTTTTATACAAGGAATTTGTGAAACAATTTGAGAAGATGAAAGGTTAGCATCAGGACCAGCTTTGGCTATAACTTCAATAATGCCAAGTTCCAAAGCTGATTTTAGAACCATTGGAACAGAAGAAGCAAATGATAGTTCCATAGCGAAAAGGAAAGCTTCTTCATCTGATACTTTCTCCATTTTCTCAATTATATATGAATATGCTATACTATACTATGATGTGCTTTCCTCTACCTTCCATATATAAGTGCAAGGGTGATATAGTGAAAACACAACAATGGGGTGTGGGTAAAATTTGTGAGGTGGCAGGAGAAAATAATTCCCATAATTGAATGCAACTTGACCACTTGCATTCATGATATGTTGATAGTAAGATTTAATTTTACAAGCTGGACGTGTACACATAAATTACCAAGTGAATTGTCACTTTACTCTTTGAAGTAGTAGTACTAGTTTGGTGTCGCTTCTTCGTTACTTTCTTGGCTGTTTTTATATATGTTGCAGGTTTCTGCACTAATTGGTCCCTACCATGTTAACGACAGGGATTCTGCAGTAATTGGTCCCTACAGTTTTTGAATTTCATTCTTAAGAAAATTGTTTTCAAATTCAATTCTATATTTGCTTTTATAATCAATATGTATGGTGGTCAAGAAAAGGATGGTAGGAAATAGGATATGAAGTCCAATAAAGTTAAGATATTATGTTATATAGATAGGATAAATATAGATGTGTGATGATTAATATTATTCTAAATCAAATAAGTTTTGGTCTTTAAATATATTTTAATTTGAGAATTTATAAGGAACAATAACCCTAAAATAATATTATCTTTAGGTTTAAATGTGTTTTTAGTCTCTATAAATTAGTGAGTTTTTGAGTTTAGTATCTCTAATTTTTTTTTGTGAGTCTCTATATTTTATTTTTTACATGTGTTTTAGTCTCTAAATCCAAAATCCGTAAAAAATCTGCGAATTTTGACTTTAAGAATTAAACCACAAAAAAAAATGAGATATAAGAATTTAGACAAAAATAAATAAATTATAGGAATCAAACTCAAAAACTCACTAATTTACGATCAACAATAAACTATTTAACTTTATCTTTATTATGATTTTGGTACATATCTCAGATTGACATTTGTGTAAGATATAAAAAAAAAATAGTTCACATCTATTGATATCATATATCAAATTTCACATAATTGTATTTTTCAATAATTTTTTGCATTAGGAAAATTAAATCAATCGGACTATTAAATTAAAAATTCTTGGTAAGTGGGTTAAGTCTATAAACAAAATTTTAAAATTATATGAAATTTCATTAAATAATCTTATTTAAAATTATATTTTTTTTATACTCAACGTCTAATCTTATAATCGACTATCATGAATTAGTATCATTAAGAACAAATTAAAATATAATGAAAGAATAAGTGGCCTCTCCAATTGTGGTTAGCGTCCTGGTCATTGTGACGATGGGTTGCGATACTCATATTGTTGGTGTGTCCACGGGGAGAGCATGTACGGTGGTCTCTTTCCAGCACTCTGATCCTCTCATTTTACTGATAAATCATTGTGTTGGTCTGATTGAGGGTCGCGACCAGGACTGCAATGGTCGGGTTAGCATTGGTCGGCACTGGGATTGGCTGGAACTTCTCCGGCGCCTTCTCTAGAGTCTTTTGGATTTTCTGGGTTTCGACGTACTAGATGTCTTTGTCGGACGCCTCATCAGAGAAAGGGGAGGTGGTGCGTTTGTCTCTATTTGGAAGTGTGATGTCTTCCAGAATTGGCATGTTGTTGTCGTTGCCTGCGTCATGGAGGGGAATGAAGGCGGTTTCATGACCGCTATAGTCGTGTAGGTCGGCCATGATTGGTAGTTTTGAGGATGTTGCTTTGGTCTTTAGGTTTCATAGAAAGAAAAGACGGGGGAGCAAAGGGTTCCCATAAACAGCGTCACTGATCTTACCGGGATCAGAAGAATCTTCAATGGCCAACAACACGTCGTGGTCTTCAACTTCAGGTGAGGAAAATCGGGGGTGTACCTGTAAGGCACTCTGATGCTAAAGTAAGTACGGAGCAAAGAAAGGCAAATAGAGAAATGAGAAGTGGAATTGAATAAAATATATGACTCTCCATTAGAAAAAGGTATTTATAGAGCCCCCAGCATTGGGCCAATGGTCTCCATTATGGAATGGATGTCCAAGCCCATAATGGATAATTTTCAGGATTCCTACATGGATGTAAGGATGAGCAGCTCGTGCTCATCATCCTGGGTCAACTTCCCTACATTATCCGGAAAGTGGAATGCGTGCCTGTTACGAAGGGCAGAATGTTTCTGCGAGATATGCGGGATCAGCTAGCCACGTGTCCTCGGGTGAGGAACATGTGGGGGATGTGCTCTCCAAAGGCTACCACAGATTGAGCCTTTGTGTTGGGCCTTCTTCGACGCGGAGCTGAACTGGGTCAGCTTCAGGCCCAATCCATTACAGACTACAACTTCATATTCGATACAATCAAGAGATATTTTGGAATACAAATTAAACCCATAGATCAAATTTTATATAGTAAGCCTTATCTTGAATGGGTGGAAAAATTAATGCTTTATTCTAATGAAAAATCAACTATGAAGCATATCATAAGATTTAAAACATAGTGTGGTGAGGGAACATATAACAAATTTCACGGACTTGAGTTAATTCTTTTATTTTTTATAGGAATAACATATATATGTGGTATTACTTTCTTCCACCAAACTAAATACGAATCTGGGAAGACAAAAATGTGTTTTCATGGCATATTTATGACCTCATATTGAAGTTTCAATAGTTGATTTGATGATCTTGAAATAAAAAATGGATGAATTAACTACATACTTCATAAAAAAGATATTAAAGAAAACTCGAAAATGTTTGGTCCAATTTCGCGATGCAGAGTGTGCATTCTCAATTAAGAGAGAAATTGGTGATGGACAAGTGACTTCAAACACAAGAGAGGGGGGTGAATTATTTTGTTTGAAAAAAAGTTGTCCAATTATAAAAATTGTTATTATTGAAAATTTTGGATTAATTTTATTATCAAAAAGATTTTGAGAAATGGAATAGAAAAAATATAGAAATAAGAGAAAAAGATCAAATGTAAATAAAATAAAACAATATAGAGTAGAGAGATAAGTGAAAAAGAGCATGCACTATAAATTTTTTTAGGTTCGACCTACCACTTAACTTTGCTCATATCTCCAAGAATATCTTCTTGAGAGTTTTCATAAAATGTGATGTGAGCTTTTTACAGGTTACACACGAACCTTCTTACAATCAACCGAGATATTTTACACTTAATAATCCCAAAACAAAACAAAAAAGAGATTTTATATCGGGCTTAATAGAGCTTTTACACAAGACTGAGCTCAGTAACCAAAACGAGATTTTACCTGGCTAATCTCAATAACCAGCAAAGAGTTTTTTACGTGATAAGCTCAGAACCAAACAAACAAAGACTTTCAATATTATTACAAAAGAAATTATATCCTCTTTAATAAATTACAGTTATTTCACGACACCAAAACTCTCACATATACATTTTACTCTCAAAATACTAAGGAAATTTTGTGAATAAATATCAATAGATGAAGTAAGAGATAGTAGAAATGAGAAAGAATAGTTATAGATTTAATTTCTAGTGTGTAGAAAAAATGTACAAAATTCCTCTATTTGTAAGAGAAAATGTTGGTTAAAAAGGGAAAATGATTCCTGGTTCTTTTAATGACTTAGTCGATTAACACTAGGGTTATTTGATTAAGAGGTTCAAAATGGTGACAACCCTCTCAAAATGGAACCCTACAACGATTATGTGTTTGAATCAATTAGAAGTATTTCTAATCGATTAAGAAGTCTTTTATGTTACTCTAATCAATTGGGCTAAGTTCCTAATTGAATAGACAGTGTATAAATGTTTCATAAGTGATTAGGAACACTTTTGCTTAATTCCACATGCACCTTGATATCAGAGAGATTTAAGAAAATCTTTAGGCGAGTGTGTGAGTTGTCTTAGTAATTTGAGAATTAATCTTATACTTTTACAATACACCAATCACTCAAACAAGGATCAGACGAGCTTTCATGCTTCCTTTATTTCACAATCTTTAAAGCTTCAAGATCTCTTAGTTGATTCAACATTGATTCAGCACTTCATCTGAAACTTGATTCTTTTAATTGACGAGGCTTTATATATAACATCTTTGACATATGCCATCATCAGAAACTTCATCGAACGTCGATTGATCTTAGGTGCTATCCTTATGAATTTGAGGTTTTACATCTTGATCCCACAGAAGCATATTGATAGAATCATATAGATCATTGTTTCTTCTCGAAGGGTGAGGACTTCAACAAATATCCTTTGACATATAATATTGTCATCATCAAAACTATTATAAACATTAGACGGTTGCATATATTTGAACCTACAACATAAATTTTTATGTTGGACAATCTTTTCATAATTTAAATGAGATGCTTTTAAGGGAGTACACATTAAAAAAAATTAAAAAGAAAAATTATATGAAAAGAAAGTGAATAAAAATATAAAATTACTCACATATTTGGTTGAACATATCTACTTTTAGGAAAAATAAATGTTTTTTTATTAAACAAATGTTGTAAATTTCTCATTGACATAAATAAAAGTGTATCTCTATTTTTTTACAAAGATTTAATATTTTTTATTTAAAATGCAAGGATTTAAATTGTAAATACAAGTAGAAAAATGACATTCTAAATTAGTTATAATATTCACATGAGTAAAGATATTTTGCTTTATTCAAACATAATTTTAAGTTTATTTATTACATAAGAATCTATGATTAGCTATAATTACTTGACAATATAATATTTTTATAATTACCAAAGTATCAAAATTAATCTCTTTATATTATTAGAATAATAAAGTAAATAAATAAAGCTTTGAGATAGAAGAACAATTTTGAGTGTGTTGGTTTTGAAATTGAATTTAGGTGACATCCTCCATTGTTTTGTTTCTTTCATTACACTCACAAATCACACGTGATTTCTTCCTTTTGGCGTAAGTGAAAATATGGGCCTACCAAACTGACCCCACATAGTGCCAATCTTGTTTCTCAAATCCAAATCATTGATTTTCACTGTTTTCATGATTGCCATCACCAACAAACGGTTTTTTGACCTATATGCCCTAGTTTGAAACCCTTAATACCAAAGTACCCCAGTTTGAAATATATTTACGTGCATGCCTTACATTTGCAGGAGTTCGTCCAACAGAAGGACGAACTAGGGAAACACTTGAAGAAATTCGTCCAATGGAGTGGCGAACTTGTAGAAGGAATCCTGCTTGAGTGAGTTCGCCCATTGAAAGGGCGAACGTGTGAAGGGTTTATTTTATTTTATTTTTTTTAATTTTTTCAAATTTTCAAATAAATATATTTAATCTTTTTAATTTAAGTAATAAAAAATATATTTAATATTTTTATTTAAAATAATTAAAAATATATTTAATATAAAACATAAAAAATTATTCTATATTAAAACTATTTATTTAAAATGTATTGGCTACAAAATATATTTAATCTATGTAATTAAAGTAATAAATAAACTATTTAATAAAAAATTAAATTAATTATATATTAAAATTATTTAATTAATTTAATATAAACTATATTCAATTAATATAATTATTTTAATATATAAATAATTTAATTAATTTTTTATAAAAACTATTAAATTAATTTAAGAAAAAAAACTATTTAATTAATTTTATATGTAAATTATTTTTACAGACTCTCGGTCACTGAATGACCGAACTCAAACATAAATTTCTTGTATAAATAAGCTTATCCGATTTACTATCATTCGTGTCAAGTTATCCAAATTATAAAGATGTATGTTGAAGCTCATGTTTTCTATGGTCCTGAGAAAAAAATCAGTGTTTTCCTAGATCCGCTGTGGAATTTCAGAACTGTGGTTGCAGCAATTAACACCGGGTTTCGGCAGCTGGGCGGTCGACGCGTGACGGTGAAAAAAATTGAGTATCGTTGTCCATATATAACGCTTACTGATGCTATCCCGGAGGGGACGTACCTGTACTACCTAGATCGTATAGAAAACGATGAAGATGTTCATTGCATGTTTTCAGCACATAGCGGTGAAGTCAACAGAGGAGTCACAGATCCACTTGTGTTGGTCACTGTTGTATGTTAGAGTTTATGTGAGCTTCATGAGTTTTATTTTTGCGTTTGTGGAGTAAAGGATCAACTTTATGTTTGTAGTTCGCTGCTTTTGTTGTATTTTGAAAGTTCTTTTGAATTAATAATTATTGATGGATCAAATACGAAAGTAGTACAATATAATTATCTATTCGGTCGGTTTGACGGACCGGCAACATTGGGACATTTACTACACATATGACCTATTTCTCTGCAAATCCCACACCGTCTCTTCTCTTTTTCTGCGTCATCCATCTCAGTTCTAATTCTACTACTTCTTGGACGCCCCTTTTTTATTTCTTCTCATTGAATCGTCGTGGCACAGAGTGAAACCTTCATATTTTGGCCAGTTCTCCTCGTGTGGTAGTCCCAGGAAGCTTTCCTTGTAAACCTTGAATACGTTAAGTACTGTGAAGACCTCTGGAATGTGAATTTCATAGTCTTGTCGTATGCTAGAACATGCCGCTATCACGTGGGAGCAAGGCAAGTGAAACGTTTGAAATTTTCCACAGTCACACTTACGATTCCTCAAGTCAACGCTGAAAGTACCCGTTGGACGACCATCATTGTAATTAATCTTTTCCTGCACCATGAAACAGAATCTTTCTCGATCAAATTGCATGACGTTGTGTGTGTTAGCCTTGGCTACCTCCTCAGCCATTCCCTTGTTACAACCATCTGTGAAAACTTTCCCTGAAGATAGCATCTTGGTCCATTTGTGTCCTCGCTTACCAAATAGTGAACCCATTCGATAATATGTAGACTGGACCAATGTCGTGATGGGAAGGTTTCTCGTGGCCTTTAGTACAGAGTTTATTGCTTCTGCTAAGTTAGATGTCATATGTCCCCAACGTTGCCCTCTGTCAAATGCTCTAGCCCACTTCTCCCTAGGAATATTGTTTATCCAATTTAAAGCCTCAGCGTTGGATCTTCTGATTTCTCCGCGATAATAATTAAATGAAGCCTCCGTCAATGCGTAACCTGTATCAAGAATTGTGTGAGAAAAAATGATAAAAACGTGCCACAAAATTTTAGATAAGCGGTATTTATTTCGTTACCCATGTTAACAAGTGTTTTGCGTAGAACCTTGTCCTTAATCTCGCGCATGAAGTTCTGATCAATGTGTCTTATGCAGTAGACATGTGATGAGGGGGGATGTTGCCAACCGTTTTCAGGATTGTTGTATGCACTTTTTATCGATTCATGTCTATCAGATATTAGACATAAATTTGGTTGTGGTGTCACGTGTAATCGTAGGTTCCTCAGAAAAAAACTCCAAGCTTCCTTTGTTTCTCCTTCGACCAATGCGAATGCCACTGGGAAAATATTTGCGTTGCCATCCTGTGCCACCGCCGTCAATAGAGTTCCTCTGTACTTACCGTACAACCATGTCCCGTCTACTTGCACAATGGGCTTACAGTAGGCGAAACCACGTATACACGGACGAAATGACCAAAACAGACGATGGAATATTCGTTTTCCGGAGTTTTGGGAACCATCACTTGATGTTGCAGGTAGGGTTTGCAAATCTATAATGGTTCCTGGAAGAAAGGTTTTCATTACCAATATCCACTACGGTAGGTCGTTGTACGATGTTTCCCAATTGCCATAAAGCGACTCTACCGCCTTGCACTTAGCGATCCACGCCTTCCGGTAAGATATGATGTACCCGTATTTTTCTAGAATATGGGCAACGATCACTTTTACCTTAAGTGAGGCGTCGTTGTTGACAAGTTCTTTGATGCTATGGCAAACCATTTCTGAACTGAGCTTCCTATAGTCTTGTGCCATCGACGTCGTAGTGCATGTGTGAGACCCAGACAGCTTACCGATCACCCATTTTGAGTTCCTTCGTCTAAATGAAGCTCTGCACTTGAACCTGCAGTCTTGTTTCTTACAATGAATGACATATCGTTCATTGTCGGACTGATACACCCAATAATCCAAACATTGTGTTATGTGCCAATGCTGCAGAGCGAGAACGCAGGCTTCCTTGTTTTCAAACTCCATATCGATCTCTATTTCATCACCTATATGGTTTTGAATAGCACTTCCAAACACGGAGGTTGTGTCGTCATCTACAATATCAATATTTTGCATGTGTATCAGTGGGTTGTACAAACTTACGGGTTATGCGCGGATCGGTTGCGTAGACGCGACAACTATATCTTCGTCCTCATTGTCTTCGTCACCGCTGTCACCAAAAATATCTTGCATCCTGATCTCCTCATAAATATCGTCATCACTTGATTCTCCAACCTCCTCATCTGGTATGAAAGGTAAATTGTTTTGCGTTGGTTCGTCGTCGGATGTTTGGCTCATCCCGTACCAGTGTGACTGGGTCTCCTGAGTTTGCAATGTTTCGGGATTGTGTTGTAGTTTGACATACACCTCAATTGTAGGTAACTGACCAAACATCATGTGGCACCGAAACATGGCCTTGACATCGTCGTCGTTTTTGATTGGCGTCATAATGTAAAAAATCGTACAGTCGTCTTCATTAAGGGTGGGATGGCGATAAATGATTTCCTCGACGCCTTGTGCCAACTTTTTTTCCATTCTATCCTTAAAATGAAAAAAATCTGAGTTGACATGAATTTTGAAGGCGTATGTATCCGTATTGCTGAACGAGAATCCAACAGGAGTGTTTGTCGAAACAACACCGTTAAAGTGACATGTGGTAATTATGTTTCTCTGTGACATTTTGGAGCTTGAAATTTGAGAAGTTTAAATTTTTTTTTTGTAGTGTAAGATTGAATGTTGGGGAGGTTGAAATTTTGTAGAGGTGTATGATTGAATGTTTGGGAGTTTGGTTGTGGTAATTGATACATAAAAGAGGTTTATATTATAGTGATTCAAAGACACATACATAGGAAACGAGTAGCAAAATTTAAGTGCCACTAGTTCGCCCACTCAAAGGGCGAACTTCCCAAGAACCTTGCCTTTGGTTCGTCCACAACACATCACAATGAAGATTTGTCTTCTGACTCGTCTCAGTCATCTGCAAACGAGCGTTTGGGGAGAGGACACCGACAGAGAAGGGCCCCTAGGTGTGGAACTGGGGGTCATATTCGATGATATGTATATTTAAGTAATCAATTTTTTTGTAACTATTAAATCTTGAAATTTTATTCTTGTCAATTATTTGATCAATTAATTAAATACTTTATTATTAAATTAATTCAACATATTTTATAGTTTTATATTAAATAGTTTTTTTTTTAAATTAATTAAATATATTTTATATCAGTTTAGTTAAATAGATTTTATAAGTTTTATATTAAATAGTTTTCACATGTTAAATAGTAGATTAATTTAATCAAAAATAAAATACTCCTAATTTATTAAAAATTATACTTTATTAATTTTTATACAAAATTTTTATATGTTTCATATTAAATAATTTTTTTCATCATTAATTAGATATATTAGAAGTATTTAATATATTTGAAATTAATGTATTTAAAAAGATTAAATATATTTATTTGAAAATCTGAAAAAATTAAAAAAAAAAAAAAATAAATAAACCCTTCACACGTTCGTCCTTTCAATGGGCGAACTCACTCAAGCAGGATTTCTTCTACAAGTTTGCCACTCCATTGGACGAACTTCTTCACGTGTTTTCCTAGTTCGTCCTTCTGTTGGACAAACTCTTGCAAAAGTAGGGCACGCACGTAAATATATTTCAAACTGGGGTATTTTGGTATTAAGGGTTTCAAACTAGGGCATATAGGTCAAAAAAATCCCAACAAACTACAAAATTACAATATAATATTTAGTAAAGAAAATTGTGTTTTCATCTTCCACAACTGTGATAGGAAGGAATTAGAAAATCGAACTGATTTTAAATTAGATTAGTCCGTTTAATAGATTAAATATTGGTGATGAAACAAATAAAAAAACTAAAAAAATACTATGTAAACAAAAAAAATTATAATAGATTGCATCAAATCAACTAAGTTGATAATTATGCTAAAACATCAAATAAAATTCACATTTTAGAATTTGTATCATGTCATTTATTTATCTTTTAAAACTTTTTGCACTAAATTACTTTTTTAAAAAAATTTAGTATTTGTTAGAAATTTCGTATCGGACAATATATAACATGAACATATCTATATAAATGGAGACAATATTTATTTTACTAATCAATTTTATAAAGTTGAGTTAGACTCAATCACATTTTTAATATGATATAGAACTTCGTTTAAAATTCGATAGATCATCTTCTATGATTTTCGTCCAGTAATCCTCATTCTACGAATTGATTTTGTAGGATTGAAGAAATAGTTTTTGTTTAAATATTTCTATTTAATTATTTTTCTTTTTCCATTTTAACTTTGACTATCAACATTGAGGCTCCCTTTTATGACGTCCCACCATTATATCATTATTAAAATTTTAGACTTTCTCTCAATCTTCTGCACGTCACAGGAATTGGAGGCTGCTATCACCAATTTCAAATTTTGAAATATTCCTTGATTTTTCTCAAACTAAAAGTATTCTTTGGTTTTGACTTTTCATATGATTCACTTAGAGTTTAGAGCTTTTAAAATAGGATATTCAACTTCAAACGGATTAATTTTAATGAATTTGGATTTTTATAGGATTGAATTAAAAAAAATTATTCGTGATTGCAAAATTATTATTTGAGTCCGGCCTAATATAAATTTTGGATTACCCGATTCTAAATAGAATTTTTTTATTCAAAAATTAAAATAAAAATTTCATATTATTATAAATAAAATTAAAAATTATATTATTTTAAATATAATACATTTTTAAGTATTATATTATTTTTTATAAATACTATAATGTGTTTTTAAATATAATACATGTCTAAATTGTATAAAATTCTCAAAAATATTTAACATAAAAGAAAATAATAGAATACGAGAAGAGTGTTAATTATATTAATGTGTAATATTTAAAAGATATAGAGTAAAAAGAATTGAGATAAAATTTAGTGAGATAAGGAAAATCAATGTGTTATTTTAGAATAAAATTATATCTCTGCTAATATAATTTTTTAAAATTTATTGTAATGTGAATCTAATGAGCTACCTACGACCTATATGAGTTAGACCTATTGGACAACAGACTTTTTAAGACTGAACTAAAAAAGTTATGAAAAATATAAACTCTAATTTAAAGATTAAAATTTGTGATTTTTCGAGTTTGACGGACTAATCTATATGAACTAGTCTATTTTGAGAGCTCTAGATTCAAATGAATAATTATACTGCATAATCTTACATTTACTTTATATTTGTTTAAAAATCTGCTCATATCAATCTATTGAAGCGATCAAATTAAAAAGTGAATGAGTATTGAATTTGAGTTAACTATTAAGATAGAGTTTTAAAAAATAAATTATAAAATATATAAATTCCTGCTTAAAAAAATGGGATTCCAGATTGTCTATTTAAAATGCTAGAATTACTTTCATTAGAGTTGTTTTGTGGGAAATAAATTACATTTTAATTTTATTTAAATGATCAAAATCTATATTAATATTACTTATTATGTGGTGATTTTGACTAACTAAAAAATTTAAATTTTAAGTTAGATTTGTAGTCTATAGTTTTATTTATCAAATGTGACTTTTATCTTTATGAAAGTTTGATTGACTTATGACTTATTAGACTACTTAAAGTCTATTTCATTTAGATGCTTAAATAGATTAATATGATTTAATGTTTGTATGCATTATTTAATAACATAAGTCTTAATCACATAATGTGCCACATTTTTTGGAATTAAAGAATCATCAAAACCAAAGCATTTGGGAAGTATGTATGTCCACATCAACCGGCCACATTCAGCCCAATGTAAGAACCATGCCGGCCCATAAAATTTATTAATGTGCATCATTTTTGGGAAAAGATCCACTGCTTTGTTACCTAATAAAATAATTATGCAACTGCATAGCATGAAAGTATTGAATACTGTGCGATAAATATTTATGATTTCTTATGTGTTATACAATACAAGTGGCAGACATACTACAAAACTACTGCATTTTATTTTGTTGTGTATAATAAATGTGTGTAATTTCGGCATGTAAATTTGACATCAATTCTTTTCTTTTTTAATATTTAATCGCTTTAAATATTTAAATCATGCTAACTTGTATTCTAGCATAAACTCTTTTATAAAAAATTTATATTGAAAAAACAATTAAAATATTAATTATATATTTTATTAAAATAATGTATAATTTGTAAGCTAATTTTTAACTTATGTCCTAGATATTTTATGTTAATAAATTGGATAGACCGTAGTTCTAATAAATTTAGTTTTTTTTATGGTTTTGGTTGTTCTACGAAGGGTGTCAAATTTGTCGGAGATTTTAATTAACAAATTAGAGATATTTTATGGGACACTACGACCAAAATCAAAATCATTGAAAAATTAAACTTGTTAAGACTATAATTTGTGTAAGGGTTAGGGCAATAAAAACCTAACTAATCTCCAAAAATATTAGGAAAACCAACATTGCCAGCTACTCTAAATACTTTTAGAGACACAATTTTTATCCATCTGAAAGATCGAAAGTAATGACGATTTTTTTATTAAAGAAAAGACTTAATTCATCTTTAGTCTCTTAAGTTAATTTAATAGTTTCACTTTAGTCTCTAAATAAAAAAATATTACATAGTGATTCCTTAAAAAACTGTTCTGTTAGTCGAATTATTTATTTCCATTAATTTTTTTAGAAAAAATGTTAACTTATGTCTATGTGGCTGATCAGTAAAATAGCAAGTGTATTATTCTATCGATTGTAGTTAAAATAGGGGTTTTATCCCCAGTATCAATCTCGAGGACTGCGTCAGATAATACAAACTTTATGGTAATTCAATCAAACAAAAGCAATTGGGGGTTTGGAAATTATTTTTACAATTAAAAATTGCAATAATAAAAATAAGACAAAAGATAGAATAGGGTTCTGACATATATGAGAGCATACTAAGGGTGGTGTATGAATTGTCTTGTAACAATATCAATCCTTATTTCAAAGACATAGCTCAAATTATCAAGTCCTTGACTGGAAATTTGTTTACTCTTAAATTCTTAGTGAGAAAACCTCTTAATCACATAACGTAATAACTATATTCATAGGCAATTAGTTTGAAATCAAGCATTAAAAATAATGTTAACAGTGTTCAGGGTGCAACATGGTATTCCTCGTCCTAGGTAATATCTACTGAAGCATTATCGATCAAATTGCGTTAATGATGGTTTTTCCGACCTAAGGTTAACCGTAAATCTAAATCAATTTGTCCGATTGAAAAAGCAGTTAGAACACTGAACGATAAAACTTGATTAATAAAATAAGCACTTATGTCATTCAAATAACAGGAACAATATCATTACAGAAGCAATTCAGGGACACACCCTAGCATTGGGGGGTTTAGCTACTCATAATAATCAAAAAATTTACAATGTAAAAATTACACATTACAAGATAATAGGGATGCCTTAATCTTCAATTGTGTTTGCGCATGAAAACCTTCAGTTCTCCCTTGTGTTCTTAATCTCCCAATTTTTTATCGTAATTTTCTTCTCCAGTCACAAGTCTCTTTTTCCTTCTCATAACGCGTCTAAAATACTCCCAGGTCCAACACAGCAATAAGGAATTACCCAAAATACCCTCATGAATCACTAATGTCATAAAAATAAGAAAAATAGGAGCTGAC